GCACTGTGGCTCAAGTGGTAGAGCACTAGCCTTGAGCTGAAGAGCTGAGGGACAGCGCCCAGGCCCAGAGTTCAGGCCCCACGACTGGTCCCCCCACCCCCAAAAAAAGTTTCTCATTGTATTTGGATGCTCTGTTGCTGTATCAGGTCAATAAAACTATGTCTTGGCTTATAAATATCAAGATTATGCAATGTTAGAATCAGGTTTTGGATCAGTATGTTCAATATTTTGTTGTAAACTACCTCATGGTATGGACATGATATTCTTTATTAAAATTAAAACCTTCAAAACCAAATTTGAAAATTAAAAACTGACAGAACTAAATTTTGGTAAACTGCTATCAACAGTTTACATTTAACAAAATTCACTGCATTAGGGAACACTTCATGTTGTACTTACTTCTGTATAACATTTTGTAAGCTTAACATCATACCCAGTTCTCCCTTCATCTTTTCTCTGTTTGCACGACACTCTGCCAAGTATCGAAGAGCCTACAGCAAAAACATAAACAGATTAATGCACATATCTGTATCGCTCAAAAATATAATCACCACTAACTTACTGCAAGAGAAAAAAAGAAATATAAGGCTTTTTTTTTGTTTTTTTGGAGGGTCTGATACTGGGGCTTAAAGTCAGGTCCTAGGCTCTTTCCCTTAGTTTTTGTCACTCAAGGTTCACACTCTATCACTTGAACCACAGCATTACTTCCGGTTTTTAAGTGGTTAATTGGAGGTAAGAGTTTCACAGGGATTTTTCTGCCAGGGCTGGCTTCAAACCATGATCCTCAGATCTCAGCCTCCTGAGTAGCAAGGATTACAGGCATGAGCCAATGGTGCCTGCTTGCTTCTGGTTTTTGGTGGTTAATTGTAGATAAATTGTCTCACAAACTTTCCTACCTGGGTTGGCTTCTAACCATGATCCTCAGATCTGGGCCTCCTGAGTAGCTAGGATTACAGGTGTGAGCACTTTTATTTTTTAATCAAATAGTTTTAAGTATTTAGAAACTGTTCTTTAAATGTGATAATCAAAACACTATCTAAGGGGAGAAAGGACCCTTCAAGCTACAGTTACCTACTTTGTTTTTTGAAAGTAGTCTGTATCTTACCTAGGACGTCAAAGATAGGTTGTTCTGGTTTATTTTTACCGTTTGATCTTGACAGGGACATCAAGAAGTATATTTTACTTATTAATCCCCAACGACTTATTTCAAAAGCCATTGCCTCACAAAATACATTTTAAACATTAATAAAACTAATGAAGGGGACAAGACATACAATAGCTTTCTGAAATAAAGTGATTCTAGTTTTACTATAATTTACTTTTCAAATATGTCTTTAATTAAACAAAGAAAAACTGTTTGGGAATTTTCTATTTTATGAGTTTAACTTTTCTGAAGTACATTTTTACAACTCTCTCATGTGCTGCTTCTTTAGGGATCTTACTTAGCTGCTCCCTTTTACATCTAAACATTGTCATTATCTATAGACCTTCTATGTAATTACTTGACTTTGGTACTTGACTTTTCAGGGGAATATCTCTGTGGTCTACATTATCCAAACTCTTGTCATCTTAGTCCACTCACCTGTCTCATTTCCACTGATTTTTTGCCTTTCAATTTCAAACTGCATGGTCTTTACTAAAGTGAGCCAACTATGAAATCACAAACTGAACATATATGAAGTCACAAACCCAATAACTTCTTTTCTTTCCTGTGGTTACTTCTGCTGTAACTTTCATTTCATCCCAATAAAGGTTTACCTGCTTTGGAAACTGCCTAGCTACATTTAAAAAACCTAGCAGACAGGACAAAAATATAATAAATATCTGTTTTCAGACTCAGGTCGTGAGGAAGACTATAATCCTTGAGAGAAGAGAGAAGATGAGGTGAGTCCTAAAAGTCCTCCTCTCTTCTTGCACTAGAGGCAGTTTTCAGACTGCAGTACGGTAGGAAGACCCAAATGGAGCCTAGGGGTATTCCTGAATAAAGGGGGTAGAGATGACTTCTGAAGAGTTTGGAGTGGCTAAAATTTACAGAGTAACAAAGGGGAAGGATCTGAACACGTCTAGAGTAAAAGGTCACATGGCTAGGATATAAAACTACCTGAAAGCAGGGAAATCAGGAGGGATGCTAGAACAGGATCAAAATATATTGGATGCATATATGAAAAGATCATAAGGAAACTCATTTAAAAAACAAAACTGCAAACTGAGATCAGTGGCTCAAGCCTGTATTCCTAGCTGTGAAGGAGGCAAAGATTGAGGAATAATGGGTTTGAGCCAACACAAACCAAAAAAAAAAAAAAGCAAAGCAAAGAAACCAAAACATTCCAGTCTGGGCATAAAATGAGACTCTATTTTGAAAATAATCAATGCAAAAGGGGCTAGTGGAAGAGCACCTGCCTAGCAAATACAAGGCCTTAAGTTCAAGCCCATTACTAGAAGACAAAAAGTTACAAAATTGTTTTCATAAAAGGGAGGGGAAAGAATGAAGATAAGGAGTAAGAGTATTAACAGAGGGGGTGACTATTATCATTGTATATGCATGGAAGGAAATGTTACTGTACCCTATTGCACAACTTTCAGGTGCTAATGAAAATGTGGGAATGGCCAGAATAGTTGGAATGTTATCAACCAGAAGTACAAAGACCTAACTACACAACAGACATCCAGGAGAACCCGTAGAAGAGCTTCATCTTAGCAGTGCAGATATAAAAGCTGCTTTGGATCCACCTTAACAAAGCCCAAGGCTGTCTTAAGAAAATAAAACTGGCCTAAAGCTCAAGCGTATTTATAGAAACAACAACAACAAAAAAAAAACATTTTAAACCCAAAACAATAAAATGTTCCATGTCTGGCATCTGATTAGAAATTACCAGGTTATAATTACTCAGGAAGGTGAGCAGATGGAAACCAGCCAACATGGGCAGACAAATGACCAGACTTTGACCTCAAAATAACTAGCAAAAAGGTGACATGGAGGCATGGCTCAAGTGCTGACCGTGACACAAGAGCACAAGGCACTGAGTTCAAGCCCCAATACTGACAAAAAGAAGAATTACCAGGCATGGCTATGCATGGTGGCACATATCTGCAATCCTAGCACTCACAAGGTAGAGGTAAGAAGAACAAAAGTAGGGAGGCTTTCCTGGCCCTCATCTGCAAATCAAGAAAAACATGAGCTATACAATGAGACTTGCTCAAAAAAATCATGTGTTGGGCATGTTATCTGAGTGGTAGATGACTTGTCTAGTAAGACCAGGCCCCTGAATTTGATCCCCAGGGCCAGGTAAACATTTTCTGAATAGAACTCCAATTGCCCAAAGCATGGAAGAAAAATTGACAAACAGGACTATATCAAATTAAGAAACATCTGCACAGCCAAGAAACAATTACCAGAACCAAGCAACAATGTACAGAATGGAAAAATATCTTTGCCAGCTATTCAATATATAAAGGATTAATATCCAGGTTATAAAAAGAGCTAAAAGAATTCAACAGTGAAAGAATAATCCAATTAATAAATGAACACAAATTGAATAGAGAGAACAAAGAAAATGGCTAATAGACACATAAAGAATTGTTTACCATCCTTAGCCATAAAGGAAATCAAAATCACATTGAGATTCTATCTCACTGCAGTCAGAATGGCAGCCATCAAGAAAATAAACAACAAAAAATACCAGTGATAGCCCGGTGCTGGTGGCTCATGCCTGTAAGCCTAGCTACTCAGGAGGCTGAGATCTGAGGATCACGGTTCAAAGCCAGCACGGACAGTAAAGTCCGTGAGACTTTATCTCCAATAAACCACTAGAAAACTGGAAGTGGCACTGTGGCTCAAGTGGTAGCACACTCACCTTGAGCTGAAGAGCTGAGGGACAGAGCCCAGGCCCAGAGTTCAAGCCCTACAAACGACCAAAAAAAAAAAAAAAAAAGCCAGAGAGGATGCAGAGAAAGAAGAACCTTTATATACTGTTGGTGGGAATGTAAACTAGCATAATCACTGTGGAAATCAATATGGAGTTTCCTCAAGAAACTAAATATAGACCTGCTTATGACTAACATACCACTAATGGGCATATATCCCAAAGAAGTAAATCAGAAAGACACCTGAATATCTATGTTTATTGCACCCCTGTTCATATTAGCCAAACAATGAAATCAGTCAAGGTGTCCAAAAATAGAGGAATGGATAAAGATATGTGACACACACACACACACACACAATGGAATATTACACAGCCACAAAGAAAAGAAAAAAATGAAACTGGAACTAGAGGCATGGGTACAAGTGGCAGAGTGCCAACCACAACTAAAAAGTCAAGACAGAACATGAGGCCCCAATACTGGCACATCCACACATCCACAAAAAATGAAATTACGTCTGGACACCAGTGGCTCACGCTTCTCAGGAGGCTGAGATCTGAGGGTTGCTGTTCAAAGCCAGCCCGGGCAGAAAAGTCTGAGAGCCTCTTCTCTCCAATTAACCACCAGAAAACCAGAAGTGGCACTGTGGCTCAAGTGGTAGAGCACTTGAGCTGAAGAACAGTTCAGGGACAGCACCCAGGTCCAGAGTCCAAGCCCCACGACCAACAACAAAAAAAATGAAGGCCCCCAGAGACCTCCTGCTACCTAGATAGGGACAGAAGCCATGTGCTCCCTCTTCTGGGAAAATATGGCTCCTCTAATAAACCTTATAATAATCTTTCTCCTATGCCTGCCTGCCTCTGCATGGTCCCCTGGGATGGACGTGAAGGATCCTTTCAGGAACCAGGGTTGTTATTTGAAAATAACCTACATTCCACTAACATGAAGAGATAAGGGTCTCATGGACTTTCTTGCTCCAATTGACTTCAAACCTTGATGCTCAGATCTTAGCCTCCTGAACAGCTAGGATTACAGGTGTGGGCCAACAGCTTCCAGCCTTTGTTATTATTCCATTGGCAATAATCTCCAAAGACATCCCTGGTATTAAGTATGCTGCTTTGGTACAAAATAGGTATTCAAAAATATGGATGGATAATAAAGGTCATCAGAGTGAAAAAAAAAGAAAGAAATTATTCCACTTGTAGGCAAATGGATGGTACTAGAGGATATCATATTGAAGAAGGTAAGGCAAGCACAAACAAAAAAAAATCAAGACATTACATATGTCTCTCATATGTGGGCATACTTATCCATGGACATATACAAATAAACCTACAGTCTGCATATATCAAATAGAACAATGAAACCTATTTCATGGTTTTAAAAAGTGATGAGGGAAAGGAGAGTGATAAAGGAGGTGAGATTGGATGGAATATATTGTATTCATGAGTGGAAATGTCACAATAAAATAATCCCCACCATGTAACTAATATATGCTAGTAAAAAAAATTTTTTTGGTCAATTGTAAAGCTTGAACTTGGGACCTAGGCTCTGTCTCTGAGCTTCTTTGTGCTCAAGTCTAGCGCTCTACCACTTAAACCACAGTGCCACTTCCAGTTTTTGAGTGGTAACTGGAGATAAGAGTCTCACGGGAGTTTTCTGCCCAGGCTGGCTTAGAACCAAGACCCTC